AATATTGCGTCTTCTATCAAGAGTCAGTGTTGTTCTTTTTCTGTGTTTTTCTGAACCAAAACTTTTCTTTGTTTCTAATAAACAAAGAAAAAAAAGAGGGAATGAACTGATGTTCCTGAGGTCAGGGGGTCAGGAATTTTTCTCACCCCACATGCCACTGCCATTCTTGTTCACAGCCTTGTTACTTCCTGGATCGATCACTGCAACTCTCTTCTTTTTGGTCTTACTCTAAACTCCATCCACAAGCTCCAACGTGTCCAGAACACTGCTGCTCGTATTATGACCAGGACCCCTTCTATCATCACATCCCTCCTGTCCTGCAGCAGCTTCATTGGCTCCGGGTCAAATATTGCATCAATTTCAAAATACTCTTGTACACATTTAAGGCTATTCATCATCTCTCCCCTCCATATCTCTCTGATCTGGTTCAGATCACCGCTTCATCTCAGTGTCTCAGATCTTCTTCTCTTTCTCTCTCTGTCCCCTCTCCCCATTTTGCCACTATGGGGTGCAGGGCATTCAGCTGCTCTGCTCCTTGACTCTGGAATTCCCTACCTCCTGATTTAAGAAATATCTCTTCCTTCTCTCTCTTTAAGTCCCAACTCAAAAATCACTGGTTCAAAATAACTCATCCCACATAACCTCTCCACTCTTGTTTTAAATTAGTTTTATGTCTTACGCTTTTATGATTGTGAAAACTGCTTGCTTTTATGTGCTTTTATTATTCTGCTGTGTACAGTGTCCTTGAGTGTTTTGAAAGGCACTTTCAAATAAAATGTATTGTTATTATTACTATTACTATTATTGTCGTTGTTGTTGTTATTATTATTACCTCTTAGTTTTTTTTCTTGTGCACTTTGAAGGCAGCCAGATTTAGACTAAAGCTCTTTTTTCCCCACTTGGTAACAGCAGAAAGAACAAACACAGTATTCTTATTTTTAAGTGGGCATTTGTGATGCTTATTGATATCATATTTATTGGAACACCACTCTTTAATGATGATAGTAATCTACACAAAGAAAGAGGTGAGGTGAGGTAATATATGGGCCAAGAATACACTGCTTTAATGCTGAAGACAGCGGTTAACAGTATTTAGTTAGTTTTGGGATGGGACAAACCATTACCAAGGTGCTGCTGCAGCACCGTAGACTTAAATAAATGATTCCAGAGGTCAGAACTAAGATGAAAATTGTAGTAGTAAAGGATACAAACTTTGTGGGAGCATCATTTGTGAGATGATGACAAAGTTGTTTAATCACTACCCAGTGCAGCTGTGAGTCTGTGTGTGAATTGAAAATGTATTATATAAAAACATCCATTCACTGCAGTGGAAACAGACGCAAATATAAGAAAAAGACATAAGAGCTGTTTGATGAACAAACTGTTCCCTGCTGTTAGAAACAGTCGATATAATAAAAGCTGTCAAATTCAAGTAATTCATTCTCACAATGTGGATTTTTTAATAGTATAATTTGGAAGAAAGGAATTTGCTAAAGAACAGACACGAATTAAAATAGTCTGCTTACTTAATTGTCCAATGTCTTTGTTGTGAATTTAAAACTTTTTATTCTGGAGTCAGTCCAAATTATTTTCAAAGCCTTCTACTAAGCAGCCAAGTCAATATTTCTAACATTGAGTCATTTGGATGGCAGAAGAATTAATGTTTGGGATTAGGTCCAGTTATCTAAAGTTGGGTGAGTGGGTGAGTTTAATCCATATCGGGAGAAATGGTGTTCCTGAAAAGGTGAATGTCAGGGAGTGATCAGGGGTTGTTGGAGTCAATAGAGATACCAGGAGAAATAGAATTACACACAGGGAACATGCGATGAGAGCAAGACTAACAACTAGCCCATTTACCACGCTGAGAGAGCTGATAGCTCCGCCCATGTGGGGCGGGGATGACGGCTGCCTTTTACCCACAGATCGAGGGTTCCTGTGACAGAGTGTGCGTGTGTTACTTTCACAAGGAAAAAAATGGTACACTACTCAAGTGTCATGTTCCGCGAGAGCATCTGGATTTTTTCAGGTGTGCGAGAGATTGCTGGTTCATCCTCCAATGTGGGGTTTTTGGCGCCTCACCTGCTCCTCACCCAGGAACAACCAGAAGGAGGATTTTTAAACCAGCACTGTCTGCTTCTCATCACCAGTTGGTCTTACTACCTCTGGTAGTAATTTGGTTTCCCAGTGTTGAGTTCCATGGTCCTCTGTCCTGTATCTAATACTGCTCTCTGTCCTCAGTTCCTACCAGATTCTCCTCCTGTCAGTGCTGGTCCGAATTGCTCCAACTACTACAGTCAGATATCAAACTAAGGACTTCCATACTGACCTCATATTCACCTGACTGCCCTTCTGTGTATCGCCACTTCTCTGAGACTGGATATCCTCCTTCACTGTGCTCACCCTACTGGACACTCTCAGAGACACCTACCCCAGGATTCACCACCTGCAGTCTGCAAGTAAGCACACCCCACGGCAGTACCTACTCACCTCTGGTCATTCTCTTGCCTTCCTGCCCGGTAACCTCCCTCTCCTCTGTTGCAGAGCTCCCAGTTACTTTGCTCTCTGTGCACTCCCTGTGTTTTAGTGTTTCTCCGCTTTCAACCTTCCTCGGCTGTAGGTCCCCTGTTTAAGTTTCAGTTTCTAACCATGTTCTTGTTCAAATTCCCAATTATTAAATAAACCTTGTAAATAGTTCAACTCGTGTATTGAGTCTGCTTTTGGGTCCCATTCTCAAATTTCCACCAGTTCATGACATCAATAAAATAGAGTAGAATAACCGTTTATTCCGCTCCACACCAACTGTACTAGAATAATATATATATGTATGATGTGCTGTAGTACTGGTAGCATGAAAAGGTTGCAAAGGTACGCCACCTCCTTCAGGATGGTACATCCATATGAACAGAAGGAGCAGTACGTACAAAACACCCTCCAGTGGACTACTAACATGCACGTGTCTGACCAAGCAGTCATAAACTGACTCCATGACAGTGACACGACTGAGGACCTGACATCCTTTAGTGCTGTGGTGCGCTCACAACCCAGTGCTGTTCAGCTCTGCCATAACTTTCAGCAAGGTTCAGAGCTGGCAAACCATTCAGATGCTTGATGACCCCCCCATGTTTGATTGAGCATGAGCTTAATTACAGGCATTTTAACTTGTGACAAAATGTACTTGTGCCCCTTCGTCACAGGTTAGCGAGTTAGTGAAGAGTAGTGCTATATACAACTTTTTATGAATGTGATTAATTCTGTATTACTTTATGGGTTTCATGATATTCTGGTACTCACAATTTAAAAATGAAATATGGACATCATATGATTAACATAAATATGATAATAGTGCACATAACGCAGTGGCAGGAATTATTTTCTTAACACTGCAAAATAGGCTCTTATCAAACTTAGGGTCATGGGGGGAGTTGTTGCTTATTCCAGCTGTCATAGAGTTAGAGGCAGGGTACATCCTGGACAGGTCACCAGTCCATCACAGGCCTAACACAAAGGGACAGAAAACCAAGATGCATGTCCTCCTTTGGACAGAGAATGTGAAAAATAGAACGAGGAAACGGTTATGTAAGCTAATGGTCAGTGGACATTAAATCACAGTATATCAGAACAGTTAGCTGCCAGCCGGTGGCCTTGTACCCAAACTCTCTCTGCCTCCTCCTCCATGTGTTTCAGTCGACATCGCATTGATGGCAGGTGTTACGTTTTGTGGAGCTTCTGTTATGAGTTCAACTGTTTTCCTTAGAATTCTCTATTACCTGTGATTCTCTCTGTAATTGTACACTTTGGGAACGCCATGTTTATGTGTTTTATTTTCTGCACCTATATTTGAGTATATTTCATTAAAGACAGAAAACAAACAGTAAATGGAATAAAATTTGAATACTACTTTTTAGATGTCATAAACTCACTGCCATTTCATTAGGTATACCTGTTCAGCTCCTCGTTAGCAAATATCTGATGACACAATTACACGGCAACAACTCAAGATGACCTGCTAAAGTTCAAACTGGGCATCAGAATGGTTAAAAACGGTGATTCAAGTGACTTTGGATGTGGCATAGCGACTGATACCAGTGGGGCTGATCTAAGTATTTTAAAAATCTGATTGGACTTCCTGACTTCCAGAGATCCTCAGGATTTTCTATACAGGCGCTGTGGAGAGCATCCTCACAGAGAACATCACCATCACATCCTGGTTTGGGAACAGCTATGCTAAGGACCAAAAAGCTCCTCAGAAAGTGATCTGTACAGCAGAACGCTGCTGCAGGATTGCTCTCCCCCCACTTCAGGACACCTACACCAGGAGATGCCAGAGAGCACCCATCCCATCCTGTCAACCAACTGTTCCAACTTCCTCAATCCGGTATAAGGTTCCGCATCCGATTAATGTTGGCGTGTTAGACTGAAGGCTGAAGTTTACTTTGTTAGTTATAAATATGTGACAGTGCATTTGAGCTCCTATTACAGAGTAGCGAGTAGTGTAACAAATTACTTACTTAACTTTTATGTAACTTTTTGGAGTAACAACCCCAATGCTGATGATTGGGTACGCATCTTCTGATGGCTGCCTGCAATTGCATGCGGCATCATGTCACAAAGGTGGAACCGCCTCAAACTGATTTCTTGAACATGACTCAAATGGCCTCCACAGTCACCAGATCTCAATCCAATTAAGGAACTTTGGGATGTGGAGGAACAGGAGATTCTCATCACTGGTGTGATATGATCTCATCAATATAGACCAAGAAGAATTAAAGCAAAAGGGGGTATAGCACAGTAATGTGTAAATAATGAAGTGGCATTTAAGTGTATGTGACATTTTTTTGATTATGAGAAAAGCTTTTGCCGTGAGAATCAGATATTGTGACACTATTGTCTTTTATTTTGAAAGCCCGTACCGGAAATGTGATTCCATGCGATTGTGAACTTGACAGTAGAAGTCAGCTGCGGGTAAATGATCTGTCCGCACATTCAGCTCAGTGGAAGCGAGCAGCGTGGATAGAGGACACCGCAGACTGGGCTCTTTTTCTCTCGATATCGTTCATGGAATAAAAAAATGTTTAAAGTTTTTTTTGTTTTTTTACCCGGATCAAAACTCTTAACAGGAGTTTAAATGAAGTGTTTTAACCCAAATTCCTCCTGTTAGGACAGCTCACTGGCTTCCAGCTGAGGAGTAAACATGAAAAGTTTGCTCTTTGTCACCTTGTGTCTGTCAACCTGTCCGCTCACGGTGAGTCTTTTTTTCTGTAGTGCTTCTAAATGATTCAGAAAACCGTTCACATACTGAAGACTTCCGCGATATAAGAAATTACACTGAGTATTCCCACATTAACAGCTGATGCTTATATTTTATTATTGCACTCTTTGATGCTGATTAGCCTTCTGGTGGAGGAAAAGTTTGCGGTCACATTTCGCTGATAACATTGTTGTTATTAGATGTTCTTAAAGTTGTATGACAGGTTATCCTTCTTCGTGGTATTTTGTTGCCTTTTGCTGAGCGTGATGATTCGTGATTGTAAAGTTACGGTGTCAGCTTCATTCATTGTATGGTCTGTTCAATGTCACGAAGAGGTGTGAGAACGGTCACCAGCGCTCTAAGAGCTGAAGAATTATTTTCAGTTGAAATTATCTTTTGACTTGTTCACTGATGGGTAATTACTCATCGATTATTTCTCTAACTGCACCAATTAGTGGGGAGGAAGTCCGAACTGACATTACAGTAGTACGATTCGATACTTGTTTGATATTGAAACAAGAAAAGCGAGTGTTTTATGATGAACTTCTCTTTAACCTTTGACGTTTGATGTGTTAAGCTTTTTATTTTTTAATTTTGTGGAGTTTTTATGCCTTTACGTTTCCTTCAATGAATTTATATTTTCACAAGTTTTAGACAAAACAATTTCTTTGAAATAAGGTGGTTTCAGCTCAAATGAAGAATAATGTGACATTAAATCGATTTTATGCTCAGTAAGGTCATTGTGTTTAACCCGAGGTAATAAAATCTGCTTCTTAAAGCTCAAACGATGATAAATGAATTGGCTGATGAACTGAGTTGGTATATTTTCATAGATTAACCATTAAATAACATTTCTGATGATGATAGCAGGTAATGTGAGTATTTGCTGGGTTAGTGACAGATTTCATGAAGTCATTTTTTTTAAATGGAAGTGTGCTGGGTTTTTCTAATTAGTAGTTAATTGGCAAAAAATCTGATCAGGAATCTGGGGAATTATTAATAAATATTAATATTTGCAGACTTCTTCCTAGCAAAAATGATTAATCGTGCTTTTATGGGCATTTAATAATTAGAATAATCATTAATTGTAGCTTTAAACCTCATATCTGCTGAAGCTGTTTTGTAGAGTTTCATTAATGAAGATAATTTGTGGACATAATCTCTCACTTCATGTTGTTCTTTCTGAGGAATCCTCCAGATATTAACCCACTTTTTTTGCCTCTCATACATTATCTGCCCTTCTGTGTGGATCCACCCCGCAGGATAAACAGTGGAAGTGCGCTCTCGCTCTTTTCCCAGCAGCCCCCTCCTCCTTTGACTAAAAGCAGATGGAGCTGTAAAAATGTTCACATCACACAAAACAAATGCCACAGTTTAATCATCTGACAGACAAATGCTGCCACTCCAAATACACAACAGCTCCTCTCGCTGGGTTTTAGCTTCAACCTCTGATGGCTTTTAACGTGAATTTAGTTTGTTTTATTCTTGCGTCCTCACAATAATGAGTCCAAATAGAGTCACTGGAGCTTGGTCTAAATCAGTGTAGCTTTTCTCTAAATATGCAAACCTTATATTTATACATTACTGTGGGTGACTGATGTTATACATGACAGCTGAAAATGCAGCGATGCTTTTAATGTATTTGGTGGGTTTTGAGCAAGTCTGTTGTTTTTTGCTTATAGAAACAGGATTTTTTGCATCAGTGCAATTTTGCATTTTCCTTCCCTTAAATAGACAAAAACCTCCTGCTTTAGCCATCATGAACTAGAGATCCAGGATATGTACTGCATCATAAAACATGTTGTCTGAGTTTAACTGGATCAGATTCATTTCAGTCTGATTTGGATTTGTGAAGCTGCAATTTGATTCTGAATAAATTGTTGACATAAAGCTGATTCTTGAGTCATAAATGGAGGGATGCACAACTTTCATGGTCTTACTTTAGTGTGCCAAACGAGTATCAGATGAAATATACTTAAACAAACCAGTAAATTGTGCTCATTCTTTCAGGGCTTTTGAGAAAACATTTTCATTTTTCATTCCACTTATTTACAGTTTGAACATTATGTTCACACTAAGAATACTCTCTGTTTTCACCCAATGTCTCCAGCTGTGGAGAATGACCTTGATGTTGCCAGGATAACTGTCCACAACTCTGCATGTGGTGCAGGTTGTTTTGGTAGCATTCAGGAAATAAGGCTAATCTCACAAAAACAAGAGGTGATATAAAGTCAATTTAATCCACTTAGATTAAAAAAGTGAGCTATAAAGATTTTTTTGAAATGATTCATAATTTATTAATTAAAGTTTTTTCCCCCCTTATCCATATGTTCTGGATGTGCCCTAGCCTTGAAGGATTCTGGACAGACATATTTCAAACCTTATCCCTAATTCTTGGATACCATATGGATCCTAATCCATTAGTTGTGCTTTTTGGCACCAGTGGGGAGGCTGATGCAAGGTTGACCTCGTCACAGTGTGGCACACTCTCTTTTGCCTCTCTTCTGGCTAGATGTGCGATCCTACTAAGATGGATGGGTGCTCCTTTGCCCACCCATGCTCAATGGCTGAGGGACCTTATGTACTATCTGAGCCTTGAAAAGATCTGTTATGCGATTAGTAATACCAGTGATAAGTTTTTTTGTGGGGACAATTCCTGAAGAACTTGTGAACCGACCTCCAGCATTTCTCAGTAAATCACCCCCAATACTGATAATGTAGATTTTCTTTCCTTTTTTTTCTCTCTTTTTTTTTTAATATTTATTTGTGTGTTTGTTTTATTTTGTTCTGTTTTGTCCTGTTGTATTTGTGGCGGTGTTTCTTGTTTTGGTTTTTGTTTTCTCAACCTGGCTTCAGGGATGGGGCTACTGTGTGGTATGGGTAGGGGGTAAACTGATAAAAGCAATTAAAAGATATGTGAATGCGTCATTAATCTGTATTCTATTATGTCAGCTCAAACAATCATTGAAATCTACTTGCTTGTCGTGTAATAATTCTGTTTGTATCTCTTTTTCTTTGTTGCTTCAATCTAATAAAAATATCTCTGAGAAAATAAAAAGATTTAATTATCAGTTAAAATCAATCAGTCTGGTATCACCTAATGCCAAAGTTTTTCTAGTTCCACTTCTAAAAGTGATGGTTATCTTCTTTCATATACAGTAAACTAAAGTGGATTGAAAATTATAATTGGATTAATGATTAATCAGTATATGAGCCACTAATGGAATATTCCTGGTTGTAGCTCTAATAAGAGTTTATATGTAACTGAAGCTACAGATATCAACCTCACGAATGCTTTTCTCCTTCTGAGTAAAAATCAGTTCCTTTGAAGTAAATATGTTGGTTGTATGGATGTTAGGTTTGTACAGAATATACTGTGAGCAGATAAACACGGACATCAGCAGTGGGAAAAGAAAGTAAAAACAAGAAGCTGACATCGACTTAGAATCAATACACCAACGTGACAGATGGAAAATTCAAGAGAATAATAAAGAGTTGATGAGGTAGTATTTCCTACATTTCCTCATACTGTGCGTGTCTCTCAGTAGCCTCAATGCACGAGAGAACAGCAGGGACTCAGGTGTGAAGGCCACAGTGGTATATTAAGCTCATCTGTCTGGACTGCAACATGACTGGATCCAACCAGGGATATTTACCCTGGGGTGCAAAAAGTCGTGCTATAGTCTGATGAGAGTTCATCCTCGTAGCAGAGGAGGACTCATTTAGAAAACTTTTGCACTGCAGGTTTTCAAACTTCTTTTATATTATTAGGAAAAAAACACAAACACAAAACATCAGGGAATTTTTTTTAATGCTGGGTGAGCAAGTAATGTTTGGATATATCCAGCTCTAATACGCCCATACTTTGCAGAGAAAAGCCGTAGAAGACGAGATCAAAGCCCACACTGTTTGAGTGACAGATGGTGTTTGGCAAGCGTGGAGCAGAAACATAATGAAGCTTGTAAAGATGGAAGCTGAAGATGAAAATAAAAAAAAAAATATCACAAGCTTCTTTCTTTGGGATAATTTCTCAGAGCTAATTAAGAAACTAAGGAACGTGGGGAATAAAGTATCAGAACTGAAATCCCTCGCTGGTGTTTTATGTGAAGCTGATTTTCCCTCAATCAGCTTTCACAGAATCTTTTGACCGAATAATGCAGTTTTTTTCAAGCCGCCGGCGTGTCTCACAAGATGTCCTTTGGTCGTGGCACATGACACACTGGGTTAGCGCTGTAAGACGTGCCTGTCACTCCCAAGTCTGTCAGTTTTCTGTGTGCAGGGATGCTATTATTGAAGTGTTTTAATCCAGTCCACAATCTTTTATCAATCTAACCCAAATGAAGTAGCTTTTAGTCAAAAAACCTAATAAAGCGCATTTCAGCACCTAAACATCAAGGAGCACCTTTCATTACCTAAACATAAGCAGTGAGCGAAGGTAAAAAGTGAGTGAAAATGAAATGAATAATGAGAGAGGAAAACATAAACAAAACAAGATGCAAAACTGATAAACCTGCATGTTATGCCATTGCAGCGTCCCAAAGCAGACTTTGTAGGTCTCCAAAAAAATGCAGTGGTTATCTCTGCGTGACAGATAAGCTGTGGCCAGTACGGTACGTTAATTCAAAATCTTTTTTTGTGACTCTTGGGAAAACAGAATTGTGTTTGGACTGTGTGTTTGGATTTTTTTCCTTTTTGATAATGGCAAACTAATAAAGCTGTATGATGAAAACAGTCTGCTGTTTATGTCTTATAGCTTGCTGAAAGGTCGGACTTCCAGCTGCGGGCTTATTCACGTACTTCTAAGTGGATGTTTCTCAGAGTTGTAGCAACAGAACATGAGAGAATTGGTCCGGCTTCCAAGAAGCAAGATTACATGGCACATAGTGCTGTCTGGAGGGGAAGGGAAAGATTAAATGTTTCTTCAGCCAGTATTGAAAGTATCCCAGGCTGAGCAGTGATGGAAAGGGCTAACACATGATGGAGCTGGAGGCAGC